TTTTAGAACTGAAATGAACTGTTTCCATGGCTAAAAACGTTAAATAGCCGACATACCATATTTCTTTACCCGACCCGGATTCTGCCCTGGCAGTCCCTAGTAAAACCCTCATAACTTTTTACTCGGATGTCCGTTTGATACGGGTTTTTGTGCGTTGCAAACTAGACTCGTAGGCCTTCAATTTAATAGGTAATAGGCCTTCTAACTCCTTATATATTGGGAGAAAACATCCAATACATTTGACCCAAATTTCAAAGAAATCTTTAAAAAGGAACTTATGATAACTTTCGCCAACTTTTATTTTGCCACTTACTTAACTTCAAAACTTGAGATAAAACCCTTGAACACTTAAATTATGACATATCACATCCTTTTTTAATTTATTACTCACCCTCTTTGTCTTTCCACGAAGGTACGAGTTAATTTAGATGTTTTGGAAAAGTCGGGGTGTTACAGTTTTCGAGGGTTTTTTAGTAAAATCAAACTAATAGAAAGTATTGGTTTTCAAAATTTAAAACCAAACCACACCAAATATCGATTTTTTAAATTGATTTGGTTCAAATTGTTGTTCGATTTGGTTTTTTAACCATAACCATGAACAACCCTACCTTTAAACTTGGCGTGAATTATTAGTTTCATCCTCGAACTGTTGACAGTCTTAAAAACACCCCTTTACTTGACTAATTGACCTTAAATTCACCCCCGATCTTGCAACATGAGTGAAATACACCCTCAAATTCTCGCCAAGTTTAGAAGGGTTTTCAACACTTTTCTCAGCTTTTAATTATTAAGAGTCTCACGCTCCTACAAGAGTTTGAGACCACTTGTTATATCATGTGGTAAATTCGAGGTGTATCGTGGATGTACCTAAGTTTAGTTAGTCAAGTAAAATAGTGATTTTAAGATTGTCAATAGTTCGAAAACGAAACTACTCCCTCCGTCCACTTTTAATTGTCATGGTTTCTATTTTTAGAGTCCAACTATAAGAATTTTGACCAACATTTTACGATGTATTTTTTCATCATAGTGATATGCAAAATATTGCAATTTATAGTACTTTTCGTATAGTTTTTGAATATCTATTTTTTTTAAAAAAATATCGAATTAATGTAATTTAATTTAACTTTAAAAATTAATTAACTTTTGAAAAGCGCAACATGACAAATAAAAATGGATGGAGGGAGTAACAATTTGCACTAAATTCAAAGTGTTTTCGACACTTCTCTCGTAAAACAATTACCATTAGTAAGATCAAACACCTATATATCATCATAATCAAATAACAACTTAAGAACCCATCAGTTTTAGCTCAAATGCACTAGAATAATATATAGTTAATAATCCAGTGACACCATTTATTAGATAATAATAATAATTGTTAACATAGAGACATCATGACCTTTTATACTCACTCCATATGATATGAGTAATAGGACATATTTATTTAGGTCACTATGATACTTATTACATCAAAGTAAAACCCCCCATTTGTAGTAATATCACTAGTTCACCAATAATCCTGTTAGTGGTAGCTACGAGTGTGATGGGAGCTACAAGGATTCCTGCGGTAGGAAGAGCAGGACAATTCACATTAGCATTAACAATTGGGAGATTAACGACTGCAACAATACCCTCTAATAAAGAAGCTAATATGTTTGACACAACCTGTGGAGGACTAATTGTAGCACTAATGTTGCCCCCAGGACCTGTGACCACTGTTGCAAGGGTTGTGTTACCTCCAACAGGTAAAATATTGACAGGTACTCCAGGGATTCCGTTGCCTGGAAGATTTCCCGTCGCGGAGCAAGCCAAAATTCCCTGTAATTGAAGACTCACTCCAATTCCATGGACTACATGACTAGTAGAGATGAAAACCAGAATAACTACGCAAATAAGAGCTGATTTTGAAGACATGATTGATAGAGTGTTGTGTTTTTCTTGTGTTCACACAAGTTTTCCACACCCCTTTTTATAGTAGTTATACTTTACGATAGAGCTACGTCGATATGTATATGAGAAAGTAACATATTCAATTGAAAGATAGCAATTAATTTCTTAATAAGTTTATGACACATTATCCCGATAATATTTTCGATATTATCAAAATATAGGGTTGGACATGAAATATCGAAAATTGAATTACCAAATCGAATCGGAATTTTTAATAATTTAGTATTCGATAATTCTGTATGGTAATCAGGAGTAAAATTTTAGAATTTTGATATGAGATACTCGTATCATTTGGTATTTGGTATTTCCTGAATATCGAATTATTTACTTAATAAATGACATATATTAACATGACATTACTCATTAGTACAAGTCCAAAGAGAAAGTAAAAGAATAAACATAAACAACCAAAATACATACGTCTTTTAGTTGTATCAATTTGTTTTTCTTGATGTATATTTTTTTACTTGTTGATATTCTGTTATATCGTGCCTCCAAATTAAAAAATAGAAACTATTGGAGAAAATGTATTAACTATGTTATACAATCGTCTACAACTTCAGAACGGTACCAAAGTTTAATTTACTGAATTACCGAACCAAAATTTAAAATTTTAGTGTTTGATATCTACTTTTAATTATTAATTACCAAACCCAAAATTTAAGAATTCCAAACCGAATCCCTGCCCACCCCTAATAAATATAATGCCAAACTTTAAAAATAAGGATTTACATACCATGAAAACGACTTCTTTATTTTTTTTTAAAATTTTCTCTTAAGAAAAATAATAATATATTATGTTCTTTTTCTCACTTGGAAGTTGGAATATAGCAATTCCTTCAAATAGTCTCTAATAATTAGATATTATTGAAGTACAATGTCAAAATTTAGACAAGGATTTACATAATATAAGAACAACTTTTTTTTCTTTTTGATTTTCTCAAAAGAAAAATGCCACTAATTTTTTTAAGCACGGTAAATGAATTCTTTCATAATTAATTAAAATTAAAATTAATATAATCTAACTTTTGATATTTTACTTTATCAAAATGTACGAAAAGAGAGTGGGGTGCATGATAAATGTGTTCTTTCCAAATCAATTATTTTTACAAAGTATTTACCATTCATTATAATAAAATATAATATAAATGATTACTTATCTTATTTAAGGCTCAATTACCGAATAAAAAGAGATTTTAACATCTTTAAATTAATTTACTTAATATGTAAGTGTTTTACTTCTTTCGAATTCTCACTTACCCGACATAACATCGGATCATTAGAGATTATTTTTACAACATTTGAGTATGATTGTTATGTATAGATAATTTTACAAAATGTATATCACACGATATTATTGCCTTTTACTTTATAAAAAAGAACGAAAAGAAAGAGGGTGCACGAGTTAATTTACATAGTATTCATCATTTATTATAATATTAATATCAGTAAATATAATAATATATCTTATTTGATATATAACTCAATAATTGAATGAAAAAAAATTCTTACACCTTAATATTAAATTACTTAATATATGTATTTTACTTATTCAAATTCTCACTCAATTACTTTTACATCTGTTTATTTATGATCTTTGTATGTAACCCGATCTAGTATAGCCTTGCCAAACTCAGCTTTGAAATTATTATTAGTAAGGTTTTATTCCTCACGCCATGTATTTATTTATATTCATATACATAAAAATTATGTAGAATGAAGAACAAACTTTTGAGTTTTGAAGACATTAAGATATATTCAAGTACTTGAAAGATAGATTTTTTTTTTCATTGTTCAAACAAGTTTTGGGTATCCTTTTTATAGTGGTTAATTTACTCCACCCCACTTATAAGTTGATAATTTTCCATATCAAAAAGTACAAAAAGGGAGTGGGTGCATGAGTTTAATATTATAACAAAAATATAAATAAAAATTGCTTGATACTTGAGATTGATGTATTTGTTGTGTGTGACTAAACTATTGGACTTTGAGATTGACTTATTTGATTCCTTTAATTGTTAAATTGTGGCTATTAGACTGTGAATATTGAGCCTAGCTTGTGAGCCATGTATTGTAGAATTGCTAGGTTGGGTTGATTTCGTGTAGGTTGTAGTTTGAGGAGGTTTGGTTGCCGAGTCAGGGGCATTCGTTTCTAGCTAGTTGCCTTATTTAGTAGGTTGTTTGATGGGTACCGTGTTGTTGGTACTCACCCCTTGATTCTACGTACACTTACGTATTAACTATGCTATACAATCGTCTACAACTTCAGAACGGTACCAAAGTTTAATTTATTGAATTACCGAACCAAAATTTAAAATTTTGGTATTTGATATCTACTTTTAATTATTAATTACCAAACCCAAAATTTAAGAATTCCGAACCAAATCCCGAACGCCCACCCCTATAAAATATAATGTCAAACTTTGAAAATAAGGATTTACATACCATGAAAGCGACTTCTTTATTTTTATTTTTTTCTCTTAAGAAAAATAATATTATGTTCTTTTTCTCACTTGGAAGTTGAAATATAGCAATTCCCTCAAATAGTCTCTAATAATTTAGATATTATTGAAGTATAATGTCAAAATTTTAGACAAGGATTTACATCATATAAGGACAACTTTTTTTCTTTTTGATTTTCTCAAATGACACTAATTTTTATAATCACGATAAATGTGTTCTTTCATAATTAATTAAAATAAAAACTAATATAATCTTACTTTTGATATATTTCTTTATCAAAAAGACAAAAAGTACCAAAAGAGAGTGGGGTGCATGATAAATGTGTTCTTTCCAAATCAGTTAATTTTACAAAGTATTTACCATTCATTATAATGAGAATATGATATAAATGATTATTTATCTTATTTAAGGCTCAATTACGGAATGAAAAGAGATTTTAACATCTTTAAATTAGGTTACTAATTAATATGTAAGTATTTTACTTTTTTTCAAATTCTCACTTACATGACATAGCTTATTAGAGATTATTTTTATAATATTTGAATATGATTGTTATATATAGATAGTTTTGCAAAAGGTATACCGCGCTATAATGCGTGTTATAAGATTATTGCCTTTTACTTTATCAAAAAAGAACAAAAAAAAAAAAAGAGTGCATGAATTAATTTACATAGTATTCTTCATTTATTATAACATTAATATCATTAAAAAATAATAATTTATCTTATTTGATGACTAATAATTGAATGAAAAAAAAATCCTTATACCTTAATATTAAATTACTCAATATATGTATTTTACTTATTCAAATTCTCACTCAATTACTTTTACATATGTTTATTTATGTAAAAGAAAACTGACACTATTCTTTAAGCATGATAAATGCATTCTTTCATGATTAATTAAAACAAAAACTAATCTAATCTAACTTTTGATATTTTATTTTATAAAAAAGTATTGGCGAAATGGTTTGACGGACCCTTCTACTTGTATGAGTTTGTATTCTGGACCCTTTTACTTGACTATTTGTCAACTGAACCCTTAAACTCTATGAAACCCTATGTTTTAAGCCCTTCTGACCGTTGACCAAGCTTATGTGCCAACTTAATTATTGAGTTGGCACAAATGTGTGATGTCACGCATAGGAGGAGCCTGAAAGATCAAGTTTTAGACTAATTTTTTTTTCTTTTTAAAAATAGAATAAAAAGATAAAAATAAGAAAATTAACTTTTTTTTTTCCAGCTCTTTCTTCTTATCTCCCCACCCATCCCCATTTATTTTATTTTTCTTTCTACTCTCAAAACCCCATTTCTCTTCTTTTTCCCCTTTCCAGCCCTTTCCAATTTCTTGTTTCTCTCTTCTTCTTTCTTTCACATTTTCTTCCTCTCGTGAATAGAAACGAAATTGTATTGTGGTTGTAGATCTGTATTTTTCTTTTATTTTCAGGGTAATTTGTAACCCATATAGTGATAAAGATTCAACAATCTTGAAAGATGAAAAGTGATTGTTGAATGTCGTTGTGAAATTAGGTGAAATGTGTTATGTAAAATTGTGTACAAATATTAGAGTATATTGATCTATTTTAATGGTTATCCGTTAACATCAATGGGGAAAGGAGATTTATGGTGGTTCAAGTGGTAGATATAAATGTTGGTAAAAGAAATACGATTAAAAGTTGGGAATGAAAGAAATTTGAAAAAAAAAGTGAATGATAATTGTTAGTTATTTAGGAATGTAATGATACTAGTGAGAATGAAAGATTGTGGTGGTATCTCTAATGTAAAAAAAAATGGAGAGAGGTGAAGGGATGGTGTGAAAAAGAAAGAAAAAATAGATTTTTTTTTTTAAAAAAAAGAAGTGATGTGTCATTAATTAAAATGTGATGTGGATGATGATATGTCATTTTTGTCAAGTGTTTGAAGTTCACACATAGTGAAAGGGGTTTAAAATGCTTAGTTTCACTGAGTTTAAGGGTTCAATTGACAAATGATCAAGTAGAATGGTCCAGAATACAAACTCATACAAGTACAAGGATCTATCATACCATTCCGCCAAAAGTACCCAAAGAGAGTGGGGTGCATGATAAATGTGTTCTTTCCAAGTCAGTTATTTTTACAAAGTATTCATTATAATAAGATAAAAATGATTATTTATCTTATTTAATGGAAACAACTTTTAACATATTTAAATTAGTTACTTAATATAAATATTTTACTTCTTTAAAATTTTCACTTACCCGTCATAACTTAGGATCATTAGAGATTATTTTTACAATATTTGAGTATGATTATTATTTATAGGTAAATTTACAAAGAGTATATCACGCTATAATGAGTGTTATGTTATTATTGTCTTTTACTTTATCAAAAAGAACCAAAAGAAAGTGGGTGCACGAGTTAATTTACAAAGTATTCATCATTTATTATAACATTAATATCATTAAAAATAACAATTCATCTTATTTGATGACTCAATAATTGAATGAAAAAAAGATTTTTACACCTTAATATTAAATTACTTAATATATGCATTTTACTTATACAAA